TTTGTGTCCCCTTTTTTGTTTAGTCCTGTCAGAGATGGGTATTCTAGTGGCATCTAAATACTATAGGTACTTGAATTCAGCAAAACAATCAAGGGAGATATAAAAATGACCAATAAGTTCATAAAAAGATGCTCATTATTGACCAGGGAGATGGCTCAGTGGAATAAGCACTTCCCTGGCAAGCGCAAGGGCCTGAGTTCAATCCCAGTTCTGCTAGAAAAAAAAAAAAATGATGCTCATTATCATTAGTTATTAGATAAATGCAGTTCCAAACGCAGTGAGACACCATGACTCAGCTCCTAGGATGGCTATAATCAAAAAAGACAGACGATAACAGTAGTGGAGAGGACATTACTGGTGGGAATGTGAAGCCAGGAGGCCCTTTGCCTGTCTGACAGCTCCTCACGATGCTGCATGTAGAGTTATAGCATCACTCAGCATCCTACTTTTTGGTGTCTGCCTAAGAGACAGGAAGGCACAGTCTGCAAAGCAGCTTGTATGTGGATGCTCAAAGCAACATTACGCTCCATAGCACAACATGAAAACAATTCAAGGGCTGGTGAGATGGCTCAGTGGTCTACAGCACCTATTTAGAACAAGCTTAGCCAAGCACAGGGACCGCGGTTCAATCCCCCAGCACCACATGCCAGCCAGCCCCGCCTCCAGGTGGGCTGAGCTGGCCACACACACACACACACACACACACACACACACACACATAAATAAAATAAAATAAAATAAAATAAAAAAACAAAAAGAAAACAATTCAAGTGTTCATCAACTCACAGGAACACAGAAAGAAAGCACTGAAACGTTCTCCAACATGGATAAACACTAATGCATTATGCTAAGAAAAAGAAGCCAGATGTGTTTGCATGAAATGTTCAGAAGAGGCAGATTCATAGGGTTGGAAGGTAGGTTAGTGGTTGTGTCAGCCTGGACAGAAGACCAAGTGATGGCTAAGGGGTACCATGTTTCTCTGGGGCAGGATGACAAAAATATTGTAAAATTAGAGTTTTGGGTCATGAAATTCTATCAATACACTGAAAGAGAATTATATACTTTAACGGGTGAGTTTTATGATTTGTAAACTATAAGTTCTTTTTTAAAAATACTGAATGAGATGAGAGAAACTGGACACAAGTATAGATAAGTTTTCCAAAGAATTCCTTGAACCCTTAAAAGTTTCTAAGAAAACTAACACTATACAGTTGCATTTGTTGCAGCAAGGAGGCAGAAGCTCCAGAAGGGGTACAGGAGGGGTGTCACTATTGTTTCTCTGCATCTCTAAGGCCCCACTATCAGCCCGTTTCCCAGACTTTCTCCTCACTGTTCATATCACCCCTTGTGTGTACTGTGCAAAAGTCTGCCTCTTGCTTAAACTCCCTGATAATTTCTGCTTTTATCCCCTTTTTCTATTCCTGTTACCCTGGTGCCACAAGGCTGGAAAGTAATTGGCCTCTCTTTGTATTATTAGAGAAATAAATTCCCTGGTATGTGAAGCAAGCAAGGCCACCAAGCCTCCGGGGAAACAGAGCAGGGAGGTGCCCAGAGGCATTTTCTGTGGAGAGGGAAGAAAAGAATAAACAAGTCTTCTGCCAAAAATGCCTGGAACTTAAAGCACTTTCCTCAGCCCAAGGTCATTCGCTGCGTAGACGGGACAGAAAACCTGGGAGTTGCTGTTGCTCCCTCAATGAAAAGCAGGTGGCTTCTTCTCTTCTGACATTCACCTCTGCTAATTCCACCTGCCAAGGGAGTCAGGTCCCACGAACAAGTGTCATTCCTCAGAGTGGCAACTGGCAGGCTCTCAGGAACAAGATAACTGCACGGTGTCCTAAGCAGTGAAGGAAAGCTGTGAGGTGGTTCCTGAGGAGTGTAGCCCTCACCACCAGCACTAAGGAGCTGGAAATCCCTGGCTTTTGTCTTCCTCTTGGCTTTTTCTTTGTTTAATATATTTGGTACAGGGTCTCACTACACAGCTCGGACTCACAGTGATCCTCCTGTTTCAGCCTCCCCAGTACTGGGATTACAGGCGTCCACCACCAGCCCAGGCTCTGGGGCCAGCTCAGCATGCCCACAGGCAAAGCTGGCGCAGCTTGTGGCACTGGGGATCGAACCCTGCTCCCCGTGCTTGCCTAAGCAGGCACTTAGTCCGCTGAGCTATCTCACCAGCCCTTTGTCTTCTTGGAATGAAACACTCACCTTAGAGCATCATAGAAAAATACAAGCCACAGAATTATAAGCACCATAGGAAAGAGTACCTCCGAGGCCATCTTCATCCTGGGCCCCCGTCACCCCACAGTCAGATGTTCTCTTTTGGCCACATTCTCTGCCTTTGTTTGAGTGTAGCCATTGCCAAGATGCTCACTCAGACCCAGAGAGGTGGCCATCACGGGCTGGGCAGTGCTAGGAGTACAGTGACTCATGTTGTCAGGTCTTAACATACTCCCTGTCCCTTCCCGCGCTCTTCACACCCTGAAACCACACAGTCTTTCCCCTCATTCTGTGCCTCAGAGTTTTTGAAAGGGTTGTCATGTCTTTCTTCCCTTCAGTCTTCTTAAAGTCAGGCTTAGCTCTTTACCCCACGTGTATGCACAAGGCTAACAAACACCAGTCTGGCCTCCGCTCTCTCTGAGGTATCCTGTCTCTGCCAGCAGGGGCTGGGAGACATCTGACAGAGCTGCTTGGCTTTGTTGTTTGCTTTCAACTTCTCATTCTCCTCTTGGACCTGAAGACATGCCCACTCCCCCAGCCCCTCAGGGTGACCACCTACTTGCCAAACCTCAGACCTGGTGCTGGCCCCCATGAAGGCAGGCAGACTGCCTAGCGTACACAGAACATCCCTGACTGTTCATGCTTTCCTGGGTCAAAGTTGGTTTCAAGTCCCATCTCTATTTGTGTTTGCCCTGTCTTGGGCAGGTTGTTCATTACTCCCTTCGTTCACTCCATTCACCCAATGTAGTAGTTAAGCGTATAGGATTTAGATTTAGACCCTGCTTTCTTACTCAATAAACGGACTTGATCAGAAAGCCAAAAAAAAAAAAAAAAAAGAGTATAGGATTTAGGGGCTGGGGATATAGCTCAGTGACATAAGCACCTGCCTGGTAAACACAGGGTCCTAAATTCAATCCCCAGTACAAAAAAAAAAAAAAAGAAAGAAAGAAAAGAAAAAGAAAGAAAGAAAGAAAGAATAAAAGAAAAAGAGTAGAGAATGTAAAATTAGATGATCCAGGTTCTGCCAGGGTCTGTGAGAATTTTGAAAAAATATATTAACCTCTCTGAGCAATACTTTCCATACAGGATTGGAAATTGTAGCTTTGTCATAATACTGCCGATAAATGAAATCATCCTCACAAAGCACTCAACATACAGACTTAAACATTCATGGAAAGCAACATACTCCCTCTGCTGTTTTGTTTTTAAATTATCATTCTTTCATCATGTGTTTACTAAGCTTCGTGCCAGGCACTGAAATACGAATATCACTCTTATAGGGTTGCATCCTCCTAAATCTAGGAAGAGCTAGTTCACACTGGCTCCCAGAGAACAGGGGGCTGGGTCCTGTAGCCCCAGCACAGGACAGAAAGGAGTAGACAGAGAGTACCGGATGCTGGCCAGGGATGGTAACAAGAGTGCTGTCCACCTTCCCCATCACTTTAGCTACCCCTGTCACTTCCCGGGTAAGCTGAGAACCATAGTGACATGGTAACAGAGCTAAAGTGGGAGGTCCCCAGGGAAAAACCCTCTTCTTCACTCCCCTTCTGCTGTCTTTGACAGAGAGCGGCCAGGCCTGTGCTCTGTAGGAGGGTGATGTCCTTTGGGGAGGCCTTGTTCAATCTGTCTGGACTGTTCCGGAAGTAGGAAGGGAGGCAGGGGGTGGGGAGGTGACAGGAATGTTCTCCTGGCCTGCTGTTCGGTGCTGCGAGTGTGCCGAGAGGAGGGCCTCTGGACATCAAAGGTTCCTTTTGTCCCCTTCAGAGTGGCAGGGCAGCCCGGCTGCTGGCGATGACTCAGGCCTGGCCCTGACGTCACCCACGCCGGGCCACTGGCCTCCCTCTGCAGCCAGGAAACCGGCTGGGGAGTGGCACTCGCAGCTGCAGCGAATCTCAAAATAAGGAGGCCACAGCCTTTCTCCTCCTTTCCAACTCCTCACAGCACACCTTTCTTTCTTTTTCTTCTTCTTTTTATCTGTTTTAAAGCCTCGTGGAAGGTTTTGCCTGTAGATCAACTTTGCAATGTGGGAAGTCAGAATGAGTGACATCATCAGAAAAATATGTGGAGCTGATCTCGACAAAGAGTGAAGAACCCAGAGCTAGAAAGCGGCCCTAACGCCTGAGCCCAGAGAGTTGGCAGCATCTGGGCTTCAGAGGAGCAGCTCGACCGCGTAAGTGAAGGCCCAATCCTGGGCTCCCTCACGCCTCACTCGGTGCTCTTCACCGTGGGCGCCATCTTGTTCCCTGACACCTGAGGCCTGAGAGGCCGCAGCCTCGGGGGGAGTGGGGAGTGCTTGGGAGATCCAGGAATCCAGCCTGAAAGGAAACTGAGCTCTCTCTTCTCCGCAGAACCAGAGAAGAACACACACACACACACACGCACACACGCACGCGCGCGCGCGCACACACACACACACAACACCACGGTACTCAGGCTGCAACTCTGACAGAAAATGGCCTATTGGTACCTTTCCCTGTCAACCCTCTTGTTTTGTTTTTTCTGTCTTTTCCCACCCCTGTGTTTCGGACTGCCAGAATGTTTGCACAGAGTTCTGGACAGTTTGCTTTCTGGATCTGTATCAAGTGATCAGATATAAAAATAAATCCTGTTCTAGGCAAATACATACCCTGTGCTGTCAAGTGGTAGTTTCACATTTAATCTGGTAGAAGAAGGAATCCTTGTTAAGAAAACATCTATAATCCTTTTGCCTTAACAGGGCAGGTTTCTGGTCATGCTGGTATATGCGCCTTCATTATGTCATCACTGAACGGAGAAGTTATTTTCCTTCTTACTTGTGGCATTGCATCTGGGGTGATGTTAAACACAAAGATACACTATAATATGTTTGTTTTTAACTTAGTCTAAAACTCCTAGGCCTTTGCGTAGCCTATAATTTACAACTTGTGGAAGTTCTTACACAAGAGCTTTGAATTACCACACACACAAAATAGCAGTACATAGGAAATGAAGAACACATAGAAAAATCATACCCTGATTTTTGTAGCTTCTAAATTCATCCCCTGAATCAGCATCTACACTTTGTACAAATTATTTAACGAGTACTGATTCAATAGTAAAAGATTGGGGTATTTTTTTAAATAAGTACATATTACTGGGAAATAGTAGACAATTCCTTCACGAACTAACACCCTTTTCACTATCATATTCTAATATGTTTTGCATGCCTTTATTTCACTTTTTTGTTTTAATAGATCAGATTGCCTTGAAGTGAGGCTCCACCATGAGACTGTTCTTCTGACTACAAGATCTCAGCGCTGTGATCGCTGATTTGGTGAGTGTTTGTGGGCCCTAACGGCTACTTAAATTTAAGTCTACTAATTCTAAGTTTTTGTTTTAAAGTAAGATTTTAAAAAAAGGGAAAGGGGCACAGAGGCTTCTGCAAAAAACAGTAACAGATGAGTCAAAGAGGATAAGTATTATGGTAGACTAATTGCTATTGCAGACCCCAAAATGTCCAAGGACTCAAACACAGTAGTGGTTTATTTCTTGCTCTTATGATAGTACAGGTCACTGGGCCCTATCTCTTCAGAACATTCATTCAGATTCAGGGGTGGGGAGTGGCTCAGTGGGGGAATGTTTGCATAGTGCACACGAGGTCCTGGGTTGTGTCTTCATCACGCAAAACAAAACCAACTCAGATGTGTAAGTTCAGAGTCTCTACCTTCCACAGCATTGGTTTTCGAAGTTACCTGGCAATATCTTCGTCCTCGGTGGAAGAAAACAGTGTGGAAAAGTGCACATGGGATATTTTGCGGGCCGAGACTAGAAGTGGTACACATCCCTTCTTTTCACAATCTGTTGGGTAAAACATGACCACAAGTAACCACGGAGGTGTATGGAGAGTATAGGCGCGGATGGGGTGATGCTTCCGATGACAAAGCGGTGAGCTTCCACAGAAGAGGTAATACATTCTGCCACCACATATGAACAGACTTGGAGATGAGCAAGGATAAAGATGTTTAAAGGAACTGTGGGAGAAACAGAAATTTGTCAGATACTCCCTAAAATGACATTCCTTAAATGACCATGTAGGCAAGAAGCCATGGCGATTTCTCAAAATGCGTGTGGCCATTCTTACCCTAAGACTTCAAGTACCACCATGCTGCAAGTGGCCAGGGAAGCAGGAAGGACGTTCTTACCTTTATTTTTCATTCCATCATCCTCTCCCTAGCCTGTACCTAAACACACTTGTTGGGATTGCCCGGTGGAATTCTGTTCCTCCAACTACAAGCGTGGTAATCTAGAAGAAAGCTCATGATTTCCTTGGATCATCGACCTCTCTGTGCCTTTTAGGAGACTTTCCTTCCATCTTTGCTCTGGATCTTTGAACATTTAATCACCAGGGAAAAATCCTGAACCAAGGAGAGAACTTCAAACCAAGATATTCAAGAAATACTTAAAAGTAAACTTTAAAGCCAGGCACAGTGGTAAGCACCTATGATCCCAGCCCTCAGGAGACTTGAGGAGGAGGATGGTTTAGAGTTCAAGGCCAGCCTGAACTGCATAGCAAGACCGTGTCTCAAGGGAAAAAAAAAAGACCTTAAAAAGCTCACACCAGAGATATTAATGATACTGCAGAGGATTTCATATGTAATTCATTTTCTCTTTAGGAAAATTTCCAAATATTTACTGAAATAATGAGAGGTAAATTTGTAAGTCCTATTTAGAGAACACTTAACTCATTTTATATTTATGTAGACTTCTGCACATTGCCTATCTTGGTGCAATTCTCCCTTCGCTGGTAAATTCCAGAAACTATATGGTGGGTGCCTTTTGATGCCCCTAATTTAAAGGCCTCCAATAAAAACAGAGTAGAATCTTTGAGCAGCCTGGTACCTACCTCCCTAGCTGTGCTGCTGATATCTGGCTAAGCACTGTGGTTTCTGATTAAATGTTGCCACTGGGCTTAACATTTCTGCACTCGCATCCACACCCTGAAGAGAATGTATTGTCCATTGTATGGGAGGCAGTTACTGGCCAACTTGACAGCCTCTCAGACTTCTGGTGACAGAGCCTGATGCAAAGCCTTCTCTCCTACTACCTCTGTCCAACCTCTGTTCAAGTCCCACAGCAGGAATGGACAGAAGAAGAGAGAGATGGAATCACAAGTTGATTTTTTGCAAAAATACTTCTACCTCTAAAAAATCCATTTTCCAGCTGTATTGGGGAATTAAATTATCTACTAAACCAGAAGCTGGATGGGCTGGTGGATTAAGCTAAAGATGAAACCAGGCTGACTAGGGGAAACAGCACCTGCAGAAAGAAGGTAGCCAAAGGAGTAAGACCAGAACAAGTACCAGGTTTCAAAAGCTGGAGCCAAATGGGGATGATCTGTTGCTGGAAGTCCCAGGCTAAGCGCATTGCCCGGAAGGCCACAGTCAAGGAGGAAGGATGTCGGGGTCTGCTCTTTTGGGAAACTGGCTATCACCACTTCTTAGATTCACAGCCATCTGGTGTGACTCATGAATGCACACAATTTGCTGGAATTAACATATGAGTGGTGTTAGGAGTGGGGTGGGGGTCGACCTCTGCATTTCTAATTTCTATCTGCATAGTACTCAGAGAGGGGTGTGTGCTCACCAAAGTGAATAACCAGAATTTCACTACAGTCAACACTTAGCTCTGAAATAATGCTTTTTTAATTGTGTCCTTTAGTAGGATAGAGGTAGGACAGTACTGTATCATACCTCTGTGAATGTAAAAATATCTTAAACCGGTTTTAAGATGTGTAATGGTGACTGTGATATACAAAGCTGTTTTTAATGATGTTATTCTAGAATGTTTTCTTTCCAGACAATGATTAAGAAGCTAATAATAATAATAATAATGATAATGATAATGATAGTGCCAGGTACCACACCATAAGAAAACAAACCAAAACGAAACAAACAAAATACCACCACTTAGTGTTTAAAAGAAAGCCACAGATCTCGGGACCACTTGTCAGTCCTCACAGACAAGAGCAGCAAAACAGGATCGTGTACAGATAACACATTTTATAAATACTTCTATTTGACTTTTAGAAAAGAAAGCATCAAGGTAGATTGATGGAGAGTTTCTTGTACTTGCTTCACCTTCATTTCTATTATATTGTTTTCTCAGTTTTCATTCCCCGGGAGTTATATAATCCAACTTTGAGAGCCTAGTCTTCACAGAGCTTGAGTCATCTGAAGAGCTTGGTGGCCGTAGCCCACACACAGCAGACACCAATGCACACAGCAGCATCACAGAGCAGAGCACAGGCCATTTGTCACTTACACCCCAGAGGTTTCCTAGTTGTCAGGGCACAGAAATGCTAGCTAGTACCCTTCCCCTGAGTCTGGGTTATAAATGTTCTGTTACTCCCTTCGGAGGATTTTGCAATAAGCCCATGTCATATTCACCAAAGCTAAGAATTCACAGGAATAAAGCTTTGTAATTTCTCACACTGAAATCCCCTAATTTTGTGTCAAGAACCAAGTTGGAAAACACCGCCTCAGGCTTTTGTTTTTACTTCAAGAAGCCTTTGGTTTTCACCAGAACTTTGAAGTTTTTTTCTGTCTTCAAAATGGTGTTTTTAAAGAATGGAAGGTTCAGACTCTGTCAGTAAGGTCCTACATGCAAAATGGCCTAGGCCACTTAGAAAACTACCTGAGAATCTGTTGATACAAATAATTACCATAATTATGGTCAGTGTTTGTCTTTCAGCTTTGATCCCACTATAAAGTATCAGTGTTTTGAAAAAAAGAAATACTTTTTGTCTTTCTAAATTGACTTTTCATCTGGGATCTGTAGCACTGCCACTTCTAACCACCTAAATGAAGATTTTGATGCCATTCAGAAAGATTTGACTCTAGGCCTAGCTTCTAGGCTTCTGATCTCGTTCAGAGAAGTGTTTTAGCTGGGAGTCACTGAATTATTCATGGGAGAATGATGAGTCATCTTTCTGCCAAACAATGATTGGTAGCATTTGAAGGGGGCTCCTAGGGCACTGAGACAGGGCAGTGTGGAAACACTCAATAGAACACCCATCCGTGTCCCAAAACCTACAGTCTAGTGTCCTAAAATGTCACAGGGAGGTAGCATCTGATGAAAGTGACTTGCTCACTCACCTAAATTTCTTGGCATCAACTATATCAAGGTATCATACAAAAGAAATAGCTTAAGATTTATCCTGGAGACAGGAGTCCATCTGTGTTTTCTGCCAGCAGCTGGGCCATTGCAGGGCTGGGATGTTTTGTTTTGGTTTCGTGTTTTTTGGGTTTTTTTTAAAGGCAGAATCTCACTAGGATCTTACTATGTAGTTTGACTAACCTCAGACTCACTACGTAGCCCAGGCTGGCCTCAAATTCACAGTAATCCTCCTTCCTGGTCTTAGTTTTTAAGGGACATCTCTTCCTTGTTGTTTTCTATGTAAGTGAGGCAATCTTTTTTCCTTCCTTCCTTCCCTCCTTCCTTCTTTCCTTTGTTTCTTTCTTCTTTTCCTTTTGTGGCACTGAGGATTGAATCCAAAGCCTTTGCACTTAGTTACCTCCTTAGCCATTTTTTGTTTTTATTTTGAGGCAAGATCTCACCAAGAGACCCTATCAAATACATAATAAAAGAAAAAAACATTGCTGCATATCAACCATTGCATGCTACCTGGTCATCTCATAATGTTGTCTTGGGTGGCTCCTGTGCACTTAGTGTAATGTAACCTATGCTAGCTGGGTGTGGTGCCACACTCCTATAATCTCAGTATTCTGGGGGACTGAGGCAAGAAGATCCCAAATTCAAGCTTAGCCAGGGCAAATAAAAAACTTAGTGCAGTGGCAGGGGTTTGATCCTTGGCATACTGTGCCAGCCCCACCCCCAAGTCGTGCTGAGATGGCAATTGAGACTGGGCATGGTGGAGTGCCCCTCTAATCCCAGCACTTGGGAGGCTGAACACAGGCAGATCACTACAAATCCAATCTATGTAATGAGACCCTGTACTAAAACACAAATTAAAAAAAAAAAAAATTTAAGAGTCCCTATTTTTTTCTTTAGTGATATTAAGGAAATGGGAATGCTACTTATTGGCAGAAGTCATTTATTAAATCTTTTTTGTGAACAAAAAATTACTTTGTTAGAACTTTGTTACTATAAGTTGGAAGTCATCTTTAAGATAAAAAAAAGAAAAAAGATCAATCCTTAAATTGAAAAAGAAAAAAAAAAGATCTCACCAAGTTGCCCAGGCTGGGCTTGAATTTGTGATCCTCCTGCATTTACATCTCAGAGTTCTGGGATTATAGGCATGCCCACCAGACCTGG